TGAAGAGCCCTCCTGTGCCTTGTGCCTTCCTGTCATCTTCTTCAGGTGTTCAGAACTTGTACAGCAAACTGAAGAGGTATCTGGAGGGAGCAAAAAGATTGGAAGGGAATGAATGGCATTTATGAAGACAATTTAATCATTTCTTTATAGATGGGTTTAAATAAGAAGTTGAAGTAACACCTGCCAATTGATATTGATCCAGGATGTCTGCTAACGAGCTTTGCCCTGTCACTGTGTGGACAAATGTCCTCCTCAACTTCCCCACCCCATTTCTACTCACATTGACCCCATGAAACTTGCATCACTTTTCCTCACATCACTCTTCTCCTCTGCAATCATCCGCTCAGTGCTAAACCTCCTTTGCACCAACTCTCACTGGCTTTCCTCAGTGAGTACAGATCCAGCTGCACATGGACAATGAAAGATTTCTCTTTTTTTTTTTTTTTTTTTTTTTTTTTGCCAGCAAACAGAAGGAAACATGATGCAATTGAATAAACACTAAAACAAAGTGATCAACTGCATGCCTTGTCCAAGCTGCACCTAATGAGGTTTGCCTTTCACAGGGAATAGCTGTACAAGAAATGAGCCAGACAGAAATAGGAAGGGTAGATATAATCACAGTTAAAGAGTTGAGAAAAGAGTCCATCAGACTTTGGAGAGATGGAACAAGTTCCAATAGTCTTCCTGAAGGTGATAGATCAGCCAAATATTTGGGCGGTATATGAGTGAAGAACAAGCAAGGGTTGGGGAAATCTGGAGAGCAGTGGGAAGAGCATGTGCCCAGATGGCCTGCTGAAAACATGCCCTGATCCATGGTCATTGATTTAGGAGAGCTGGAGACACCTGGAGGATGAGGGAAATCAAATACAAAGCAGGGTAGAGCAGCAGTGGATGCTGGGCATTGGTCACAGGGCATTGGCACTGGCACCACTGTCTGTGTCCCTGTACCTGAAGGCATCTGTGTCCTGCTAACACAGTTCTGCAAGTTATCTTGACTTCTGTCTGGCTCTTGCTGGGCATCTACCTGGCTGCCCTCCTGGGCAACGGCCTCATCAGCACAGCCGTAGCCTGCCACCACCGCCTGCACACCCCCATGTACTTCTTCCTCCTCAACCTCGCCCTCCTCGACCTGGGCTGCATCTCCACCACTCTCCCCAAAGCCATGGCCAATGCCCTCTGGGACACCAGGCACATCTCCTACGCAGGATGTGTTGCCCAGACATTCCTGTTTGTCTTTTTGCTATCAGCAGGGTATTCCCTTCTCACCATCATGTCCTATGACCGCTACGTTGCCATCTGCAAGCCCCTGCACTACGGGACCTTGATGGACAGCAGAGCTTGTGCCACCATGGCAGCAGCTGCCTGGGGCACTGGGGTTCTCTATGCTCTGCTGCACACTGCCATACCTTTCCAGTGGCACTCTGCCAAGGCAATGCCATCAATCAGTTCTTCTGTGAAATCCCCCAGATCCTCAAGCTCTCCTGCTCACACTCCTACCTCAAAGAAATTTTTATTTTTGTGGTCAGTGCCTCATTCGTTTCTGGGTGCTTTACTTTAATTCTTTTCTCCTATGTGCAGATCTTCAGGGCCGTGCTGAGGATGCCCTCTGAGCAGGGACGGCACAAAGCCTTCTCCACGTGCCTCCCTCACCTGGCTGTGGTCTCCCTGTTTGTCAGCACTGCCATGTTTGCCTACCTGAAGCCACCCTCTATGTCCTCCCCATCCATGGACCTGGTTGTGCCTCCAACACTGAACCCACTCATCTACAGCATGAGGAACCAGGAGCTCAAAGATTCTCTGTGGAAACATATGAACAAATGTGTTTCAAAAGCAATGAACTGCCCACCTCTTTAAAACTAAGAGTTGTAATGCAGATTTTAACAGAATCAAACTTTATGTGTTTTGTATGTTCATTTTCTAAGTGTAATTTACTGAATGTTTTATTCTGTGTTTTATGTATTCTAATGTTTTTCATGGAAACTTCATTATGCCTGTCCATTCCTATCCACCTTGCACCTATGTAGTGTAACCCAGACACAGTGTACATGAGGAATCAGCCTATCTGTGAACCTTATCAGAAAACGGCCATACAATGACTTTGTCTTCCTTCCTGTGAGACATTTCTGGAGTTGCTGGGGTCAGTTGTTCTCAGAAACACATAATCCAGCACGAAGCATACAGCTGTTAATCAAA